GGGTCTGTAGTATACTCATTGTTTTAAATTTGCATTTCCCTAGTGTCTAATAATGTTGAGATTCTTCTTATATACTTATTTGATGTCTATGTATCTTCTTTGATGTCTCTGTTCAAATTTTTCCCCATTTTTATTAGATTGTTTGTCTTATTGGGTTTTTATTATTGAGTCCATAAGAGTCCATTATCAGATATATGTTCTTCAAATATTTTCTCCCAGTCTGTGGCTTGTCTCTTGATACTCCTTTGAAGGGCAAAAGTTTTAATTTTGTTAAAGTCCAATTTACCAGTTTTTAAAATATTTCATTCATGTTTTTGGTGTCCTAAGAAATCTGCCTAACACAAGGTTTTGGATTTCCTCCTATATTTTCTTCAAGATGTTTTGTTGTTTTAACTCTTACATTTAGGTCTCTGAGCCATTTGAAGTTAGTTTTTGAGTATGGTGTGAGGTAAGGGTTCATGCTTTTGCATATGGATACCCATTTGTTCTAGCACCATTTGTTGAAGACTATCCTTTCATCTGTTGAAATTACCTTGTTAAAAATAGACTGCCCACATATCTGTGGGTCTATTTCTATACTCTCTTTTCTGTTCAAATGATCTACATGTTTACCTTTGTATCAATATCTGTCTGATTACTATAACTTGTGATAAGTCTTGATATCAGATAGTTTACATCCTCCAACTTCGTTCTTCTTTTCAGATTGTTGTCTATTCTAGGTCCTTTGTACTTCCACATAAATTTTACACTCAGCTTGCCAATTTCTAAAAATTTCCATCTAGGATTCTTACTGGAATTGCATTGACTCTATAGGTCAGGTTAGGGAGAATTGGCATCATATTTTCTATAGTATTGCTTTGATAATTTTAATTTCTTACTGTTCATTGCTGGTATATAGGAATAAAATTGATTTTTAATACTGGCCTTGTATCCTATTACCTTGCTAAACCTACTATTCCTAGTAGTTTAGCTAGATTTCTTAGGATTTTCTACAAAGATGATCAAGCCATCTACAAAGAAGGAGTTTTACTTCTTCCTTTCAAATCTGTATACCTTTTCTTTCTTTTTCCTGTCTTATCACACTGGCAAGACAATCCAGTATGATGTTGAATAGAAGTATTGAGACTAAATCCTTGATTTATTTCCAATATGAGGGGGAAAGCATTCAGTCTTTCTCATTAAGTATGATGTTAACTGTAGATTTTTCATATTCTTTGTCAAGAAGATCAAGTTATACCTCTGTTCCAAATTGACTGAATTTTTATTATGAATGGATATAGAATTTTGTCAGATGCTGTTTCTGCTTCTATTGGAATTATCATGAGGTTTTTGATGTATTGAACAACAATTTTTCAGTTATATTTAGGGTTTTTTAATTGAATTATAGTTGATTTACAATGTGTTAGTTTCAAGTGTACAGCAAAGTGATTTAGTTATACCTATAGGGGTGTGTGTGTGTATATATATATCCTTTTTCATATTATTTTCCATTATAGGTTACTACAAGATATTGAATATAGTTCCTTGTGCTATGCAGTAGGTCCTTGTTGGTTATCTATTTTATATATATTAGTGTGTATATGTTAATTCCAAACTCCTACTTTATCTCTCCCCCCTTCCCCTCTGGTAATAAGTTTGTTTTTTATGTCTGTGAATCTATTTCTGTTTTGCAAATAAGTTCATTTGTATCTTTTTTTTTAGATTCCACATATAAGCAAACGACCAATCTTGCATTCCTGGAATAGACCCTACTTGGTCATGATATATATATAATTTGCTAAAATTTTTAAGGTTTTGGCATTTATATTCATGAGAGATCCTAATTTTTTTCTCCTTCTAATGTCATTGTCTAGTTTTGGTATCACAGAAATAAATGCTGACCTTATAAAATGATTTGGGAAGTGTTCCCTTGACTCTTCTATTTTCTGAAAGAATTTGTGTAGAATTAGTTTTATTTCTTACTTAAACATTTGCTAGAATTCTCCAGTGAAGTCATATAGCCTGGAGTTTTCTTTATGGAAAAACCCCTTATTTTTAATACAGGAAGGACTTGCCTTTGCTGTCTCTATCAACACAATGTGTAGCACTGAGAATGAATGTAAATTAAGTTGTGAAAATCACTATTGCCAAAATAAAGCTCCTAGCCACATAGTTCTATCAAGAACTGTTCCCCTGGCTTTAGCTATAGTGGGAAACGATTTAAGTCGTTTCAATAATCTTTTCAGATACAGGTACAATAATTTTAAACTTTCTTAAAAAATCTTGTCTGTAGTCAAATATCCCACTAGTCAATAGGAGTATGTAAAACAAATTTTATCAATCTGATAGGTAAAAAAGATTATTTTAATTTGCATTTTCTTTGCTAATAATTTAGCTTCTTTTCATGTTTACTGGCAATTTACATTTCCCTTTCTGAAATTACAGACCTATATCTTCTGTCCATTTTTATCCTGGATTTGTCTTTTTCCCAGCAATTTGGAGGTGTTATTTGAGATTAGAAATGTACCATATGTATTACAAGAATTTTCACCAAATTTGTGCTTTTTCATTTGACTTTATTTACAGTGTCTTTGGAGATACATTTTTTTAATTTTTAAAAATTAAAATCTGTTTACTTTCATTATGTCTTTTGGGTTTACTGGCTTCCTTACCTGGGAATGTTCAGATATTCATCTAAATTTTCATACTATGTCACTGTTTCATTTATTACATTCAAGCCTTGAATCTACCTGGAATTTAATTTTACATATGATGTAAGGAAGAATCAAGATTTGGAATCTTAGAGTTTCCCGTAACTCTTCATATCTTGTAGTATTTTCCATGTTTTCATAAGACACCCTCCATCCAGCTCATAATTTCTCCAGCTTCGATCTTTCTCTTGTCACATTGCTATGCTGCAAACTGAGGGAGGGCATGTCTGTCTCTCTCTCCATTGTTTCCATCAGGAAAGACTGATAAACAACAGCAAGGCATCTTGCATAGTGCCTGAGACATTTTAGGTATTCAGAAAGGATTTATGGGAGGAAGGAAAGTGCTGAATTCACACCTCTGTTACTATGACTTCTTGGCAAGTTTAATACTGACTGCCTATCTGTGTAAACAAGGGGAAATGTCATTCTCCTTAAAGCCATTCACTGTCTCATGAACTCACTCTGTTCCTTCCTCCTCCTGTATCTTTGTTCTTTGAGGCCTTCCTTCTCTCTATAAATCTGTCATTTCACAACAACTCCCCTTAGGGAGGCTTTCTTCAAACACTTCCTTAAAATTCAACAGTATTTATGAATTCTGCCACACTATTTAGCATTTAATCCACAATGGATTTTACTGCTTTTCTAGTGCCCATCACTGTGCTGGGCACATAGCTCATTAAATACTTAAACAGCAACTGACACAATCTTGCACACCCAGGCTCTTTATAATGGCCGAAATATAGCCTCAAGATTTGTTCTGAAAGCTCTTGGGACTAAGGAAGCAACAAACTGGAAAAAAACTGAAAAATGACCCTGAAAGCTGTTAAATGCCAGAAAGATTTTTCAAGTGAAACTGTGTCATCACATTTATTTTAAATACATTTGTTTAACAAGGACCTACTGTACAGCACAGGGAACTATATTCAATTTCTTGTAACAACATATGATGCAAAAGAATATGAAAAGAAAAAATGTATATATATATATTTATGTATATATATAAACTGAATCACTTTGCTGTACACTTGAAACTAACATTGTAAATCATTTACACTTCAATAAAAAATTTATTTTAAAAGTTCATTTGTTAGATGAGCACATGACCAGGCGCTGCTCTACCTGAAGGCAGAGGGCAACAGACTTTCTTTGGTTGGTTTCTATTTCCATGGGTCCCTATATGGCCTTCACCAATTGAGACCTTTGGAGATTCAGGGAAAATGGAAGTGAGCCTTATATGACCCTACATTGAGTTTGAAAATAAAATCTGAATGGCTCTCAACACTTTCTGCATGACTTTTTAATGGAGAAACAGCTAATCCTAGGGCTAGGGCAAAGAATATACAGTATGAGCCTGGAGCATCTTATGTCAGAAAATAAGAAAGCACTCAAAAAACAAAATGATGGGAGTATGTCAAAGGACACCAGAGCCAACTAAAAGAACTCCCAATGGCCAAAGCTGGAACAACTTGAGCAACAAAATAATGTAGTACTGGATTATAGCCCAAGGAATAAAATAAATATCCCTCAGTTCATACTGATATAAATAAGCAATTGAATAAATAAATGAGAGAAGAAACAAATCTCCCATAGAGAATTCCAAATAATTTATGGAGCTACTCCACCCACAGGGAGGTAAAGTATAACTCCCCACCCCTTAAGTGTGGACAACACTTAGTGATTTGCTTCCAAAGAGTACAGAATGAAGAGGGATGAAAGTAACTTTCCAGTGGAGAAACCTGGCAAAGACCACCTTAGCCAAGTGATCAAGATTAACATCAGTGATGTGTGGACAGTCTACCCTTGATATGATGAGAATGACACTTCACCTCTGTGGTTTTCCTCCCAAAAACCATTAACCACAGTCTAATCACGAGAAAAACAGACAAACCCCAATTGAGATACATTCTACAAAATACTTTGACTAGTCCTCAAAATTATCAAGATCATCAAAAACAAAGCATGTCTAAGAAACTGTACAGCCTACAGGAGCTAAAGAAATATGACAACTAATTGTAATCCAGGTACCCTGGATGAGATCTTGGAACAGAAAAAAAGACACCAAGCAAACTAGTGAAACATGAATAGAGTATGGAGTTCAATTAATGCTATTACTTAGTTGTGACAAATGTACCACAGTAATGTAAGATGTTTACAGAACTGGGGTGGGTATATGAAACTCTACTATCCTCGTATCTTTTCTGTAAATTTAAAACTATTCTAAAATAAAAAGTGTACCGAAATATTCTGAAAATACAGTTTGGGCAACAGATGACTACATGCTTATCTCTACAACTGTGCTTTTAATTACAGGGTGCTGGTGACAGTTTTGTGGGAGCTTTGGCCTTCTACCTGGCTTACTACCCAAATCTGTCCTTGGAAGAAATGCTCAAGAGATCCAATTTCATCGCAGCAGTCAGTGTCCAGGCCACAGGAACACAGTCATCTTATCCATACAAAAAAGACCTGCCCCTTGATCTGTTTTGATTGCTATTAACTCCAAAATAAATATACCTGGAAATAAAATGTACTTGAGGATGGCCACTCTTAACTAGCAGCTTACTATAAAATGTCAGCCTCTTTCTTTGCAAATAGTATGTTCACTTATTAAGTCATCCTCAAGCTTTCATTTCTTTCTTTATAGATGACTTCTTTGCTTTTCATCCAAAAGTCAACGAGACAGAATTAAGGATTCCACGATGAAGACCTATACAAACACTACCGCTATTCAGGAACCAGCACACTCCATTGCCAACACATCATGAATACAATATGTACACCATACAGCAGAGGTTGCGAACAGTGCCTAGAGCCAGAGCAGAGAATGTTAAATAAGGGAAGGGAGCATATGGATTGGTCCACTCGAGCAGTTTCTAAGAGGGGCAACTGATACTCAGCTTTGCCTTTAGTGTTGTCAAAGCTTCTGGTTTTGCAGGAGAAGCCAGAAGTTTGGATGTTTATTGACATTTTTCAATGTTTTAAGTATCAACAACTGATTTTTTTTTTAATTGTAAACACCACCTGTGGGCTACTTTCAGCCCACATGCTGAACAGACAAGTCATTTGCTAAGCCAGATTTTAAGGTTTAAAAAAGAAAAAGGGGATTCATGCACATCACAGAACCTTTATATTGGGCTTAGATAGATTAGATGAAGGATTTTTCTTGTAAACCAAGACCTTAATGTATAGTTTGAATCTAAAAATAGCCAAGATCTCACCTACTATTGCTTTGAACCAGAGCTTTAATAAAAGACGCCAGAAAATAGCTGACTGACTATAATGCCACAAGCCTCTAAGATTCAACGGGCGTCTAATTCCATTTCCAGAGAGCTGCCCTCACATTTCTTCCCGGGACACAGATCGGGGCCATGGGGAAGGAACACCTGTTATTTTGGAACAGCGTTGGTTTCTTAATGCTCGTGGTCATGATAGACACTCTATCCTTCTCCTCATAAATGCTTTAAATGTGGTAGGATATGAACCAGCAGAGCTCACCATAGGAGCTGATCCTTCTTACCTCCAGCCAGAAATCTGACAAGTGAAGGAGAAAAATGGGCAATTTTGAAAATTTGTGGGAAACAACAGCTTGAGTGAGAAAGTGTATAGACCTGGATAGAGCAGGAGTCCTTACCTGAACATGAGGGATTATCACTGGAATTGCCAAGCTGGTCAGCTGTGTGGTGCTGCCATGCCCCAGAAGCCCTTAGCCACTAGTTTTATGAAAATACACTATAATGCCTCTTATTCAAACAAACCAACGTAGGAGTTAAAGGAGTCCAAAGATGTCCCACAAAACCCTACATACTGTCTTCGGTGAACCAAGTTTGAGAATATGGACCAATGGCATGTTCTCTAATTATAAGCACACAACAAAAATAGACGTTCTCTTGGTTTCTTTTGTGTTACGAGGCTGGCTCCTTTCTTATCATTCCCGCTCACCTTTGCCACCTCTGTTATTGAATGGGAGTTTTTTCAAGATCACTCTGGACTGTGACTTTGCCTTTTCTATGAAGAATAAGGAGGAGCCGACTGGAAACTCTTGGACAAATTTCATTATGGAAAATTTTCTTTTACTATATGAAACAATGGTTATTTTTTAGTAACGTGGTTTTTCTCATTTCAACTGGTAGGGGAAAATATCACTAAGAGACAATAGCACAGGCTATTTTAATATTTTTTATTAAGGGCTATAAAAATATCCAGAAGGATAAATAAATGTGATGCAATGATATATGTCCTAATATGAAGAACTTTCTTTCACTGCATTGTTTTCCTTCACAATGGCCTTCAAATCACAGGAGGCAGTGATTCCGTGCCATTTCCTCTTCTTTTATTACACGCTGCAGAATTTTTGAATCAGTATCCCGCCCTCAGTCTTCTCATTTATAAGTCAAATTCATTTTCAATCCATTGTTTAGAGAGAGCGTATTTTTTTCTGTTCCACAAAGAGGACTTTTTTTTTCACTGTAGGAGAAGAAAAAAGGGTTGTAGCAGAAAACTGAAAAATATCGTCATCACTTTTTAATAAAAATACATATCAGACCATGAGCCCTCTCCCTTCTCTTCTTTTACTTTCCTTTGTCATGAGGATGGAGCTGACTTGCAAACTCAGTTCTTCAATCCCAGAGGCCAGAGAAGACTGCAGAAAATGGTAAGGAAAACAAGGGGAAAGTCCACCAGCCAATCCATAGCACCCTTGGTACCCCACAAGGTCACATTTCAACCAAAGTGAAATATTCAAATTGAAAAAAGAAAATTACAGGCAAGAAATGAAAAACAACATCTTTACCCAGTTAATGTCCACTCTTACAGGAGGTAAAGCAAGCACAGGCTGGGAGCGAGACTCCAGAAAAAGCACAGTAAAAACTGAGTAGACCACGGAAGGAAAGGAAGCCTAGCTGAAAGAGTAAATACACAGTAAACCTTGTACTTTTCACAAATGGTTTCATATACCCAAATATGGATTTTCTAGTTTGGTAAGAAGAGATTTAGTATCATAACCAAAATCTCATTATTGTATCATAACGGAGTACAGTTCTCTGACACACCCAAAACCAAAATGCTAACTGCCTGCATGAAAAATTAGACTAGACGCTAAGCAATAAAGTTTTCATAGTTCCTGCTGTAAAGCACTTCATTAACATCACACATCTCTCTCCCTCTCTCACTCACACACACAAACACACACACATACCCATAAACCCACCCTACCTGAATTCTTTGCCAAAAAACCAAAAACAGTGCGCCTTGGAAGATCCAGGAATCAAAAGACTATGTTATGACACAACAGCAACTCACTTGTCCCTACCATACAAAGAGATTTTAGCAATGTTTTTTGTTATTCTTCTATCATCAATGATGGATACTCTGAATATGAGATTCTCAAACTGCCTATGATTAAGAATTAGCTAGGGAGCTTATTTAAATACATTTCTACTTCTTACCTCCACCTCTACCCTAATTCTGATTCTTAGATCTAGAGTGAGGCTGGAGGTCTATTATTTTTTAAAACCCTCAGATAATTCTGATGGGCAGCTAAACCTAGTAACTATTAACCAGTCAACAGAATTATATCTATAAAATGAATAAAAATAAATATATTTTATTATTTTGTACATATATTAAAAACATACTTCAAATCATCTAATAAGTAGGACTGATGTTCCCTCAAAGTCCAAGGAGGACTACAGAGCCATTGTAAGATGATAGTGAAGAACCAAAATAGTTTCCCATCAGACAATGTTATTCATTGCAAGAAATATTTTCCCCATGTTTTTCTATGTGGAACTAAAAAAAGGATTAAAAAAGGAACTTGTCTCATTGACAACCAATTGGATTATTTAAATGACCCTGGACAGGAGCAACTGATGAAGATCAGTAAAGCAAAGCTTTATTCATGAAAAATTTTGATTGGCTCACTGCATTCATACCCCTAATTCAAAGAATAAATACTTAAGTTCACAGAACTGTGCTAAGAGGAGTCCCTGAGTTAACATCAGTATATTGTGAGGTGCCTGTATGAACGTCCAGTAAACCCCAGGACCCTAAAGATCAAAGGGGACTGAAATGGTGAGGGAAGCGCCTCACGGAGAGGGTGAAGTTTAGCCTGTGAAGCAGCAGCAGTGTCTGGATGAACTAAAACAAGAAAGGGCATCAGGTGCAGAGAAATGGCGGCAGCAGGTAAGAATGACAGTGCTGATCACAGGGGAAAGTCCTGATTTTTTTTTTTTAAAGGGAGATTGATTTGACTCCATGTAATAGAAAGAATAGGGGGCCTGGAGTCAGAAAGACTGAGTTCAAGCCTTGGCTCCACCATTTATGCACTGGGAGTCCCTGGGGCAAATTTCTCAGAATACTCCTCTGTCAGTTTCCTTTCCTGTGCGAGGGCTAACTCCATCTCCCTCACAGGGTTGCCAGACACACAGTGAACACTCAATATGTGTTGAGCTGAAATGACACACTGCTATCCACAATCATAAACATAAATTAATTTTCTGTCAAAATATTTGCTTCTTAATTCAAAGAAGAATGAATCTGTCAAGTTCTTTCCCTACATCTAACCTAAATCTATTCTGCTTCAATTAAAGTCTTTATTGTCTTGTTTAGTCAGCCAAGGAATTAAAACTGACAAGTTTTCATTTTCCTTATAATAAACTTATTCATATATATTTAACAAAGTTTAATAAGCTTATGCCTCAGCCTTTAATCCTTCCTCCTTGGAAATTCGCATCTAGTTTCATATGAGAAAGAAGGAGGTTAAAAGGACAGAGCTGGTTCTAGCCATACCATGAAGTGCTCAAATACTGGGGAATTTTTCCATGTTTCCTTGCCTGATTTCCTTCATAAAGCAGACAAAGAAAACATTACCCTTAAACTAACCACTCACTCATTGGAGTAAGATATGCTGAAAGAACTGCCAAGCTATTTAGTACCATGGGCAATGGGGCAGGCAGCAAGGCAAACATCATCACACAAGGCTGCAGGACACTGAGCAGGTGGGCAGACAGCCAGGCAGGTTCTGCTCTCCTAGAACATTCTCTCCTTCAGAAGAGGCAAAGTTGTGCTGTCAAGGCTCAGACCATTCCTTAACAGAAAAGTTCTCATCATCTGTTAGAAATTTATATATGAATCTTTTCTTCCACTTTCACCTTACAGTGAGAACTGTATGGTTGTACCCTTTCCCAATCTCAAAACTTAAAATCAATCTAACAATAAGTTCCTAATACCTCCCTACTGAGTGAAAATTCCAATACATTTTCACACTTAAAATATCACAGAAGGTTATTTGGTCAATATTTATTAATGTTGTACAAGTTGCTAAAAAAAAAAACCTCTAGAGGAGCTAAAATGCTAGAAAAACAATTACTTTATTGTAAAGTTCATCACTTTGAGATTTCACTAGGTGATACAAAGAAATCAGAGGGAGAAAAACATCACACCAAT